TATGCACACATGACTGTAAGTCGCTTTGGATAAAAACGTCTGCTAAATGGCATATTATTATGATGTACAGAATAAAAATGTAAAGTTCAATGTGTTTCCATCATTTCAACTCTACTCTAGTTTTGTCACAAAAACTGTTGCGTTAAATAGAAAATGCACTCTGGTCTTGGCACATGCGCTCTAGCCAACAGTTCGCAGATACGGTGCGGGTAGGCTGTGCGGGCAGGCTAGTTTACTGTCACGCTCTGGCTCTGGGGACTCTAGTATGTTGAGCCAGGGTGTGAGTTTTCATTTGTTTTCGTTCTAGTTTAGTATTTCTATGTTGGCCAGTGTGGTTCTCAATCAGAGGCAACGTGTATCAGCTGTTGCTTGTTGTCTCTGATTGGGACCCATACTTAAGCAGCCAGTTTTCCCACAGTGTTTGTGGGATCTTGTTCCTGTTGTAGGTTTGTACCTTTGGACGTCATGTATCGTTTTTGTTATTTTGTTCGTGTTTCAATAATAAAAGCATGTTCGCAAATAATGCTGAGCCTTGGTCCTCTGTATACGACGATTGTGACATTTACATGATGATATTATTATGGATAAGAGCGAGAATATATTTTATTTTGTCGAAGGACAGTCAAGCATCGATCATCAAGTCACCAGAATCAGACCCTCGATATTTACTGGAAATGAGCATCAAGATCACTGTGCACTTTCATCACCCTGTGAAGTTCATCCATCATAACTTATTTCATCTGTAGCCTAATAAACTGCATGGTTTCCCGAGTCGTAGTGGGAGGATCACACACCATATCATTGCGTGACTCCAAGTTTACTATGATATGATAGTTATTATATCAATATTTGCACATAAAGGCTTTTCCACTGCCATTTCTCGCATAATTAGTCTTACCGACACAAAATGATCCCACCATATCGAACAAATGATCTGTCTGCATTTATAAAATTGTACCGAAACTTCCTGTTTCCATGACAGCTGTAGTGATTTTTTTTATACGGTATGACTTTACTCACATAAAAACTGTGAATGGAAATGTGGTTACAGATAGAACATAGGCTTTCACCAAATTGACAGGAGTTTCATGATTTTTTATCTCTGAGGTGGATTATCCCGTTAAATCCCCTATTGACCGAAGGTGAATGAAGTTACAGCAACAAGGTGATCATGGCTGGAGTCAATGTTGCTTGTTTTTACCGTTCTCCAAAATGCAATTTTAACAGTTTTTAAATTGTGTAAAAATGTTATAAATGAGCTTCAATTTTATAAAAATCCCCCTCCCCCGTCTCTTTTCCATACCCTCGGGCTAGATTTAGCTGAAATGACGGGCTGGTTGTGACCGAGTGCTTAAAACACATGGCTAGCCCTATTTAGATTTTGCATGACATGTTGGCAAGGCTCAGGAAATATAATACCAAGTTAAAATACTTTTTAAAACACTTTGTTCACCGCCAGACTGGCTCTGATTCACGCGCATGTGTTGGATGCTGTAGGAAACAAAACAAAATGGCGGTAAACAAAATGTGTTCAAAACAAGTCATATTTTGGAGAAATAGCAGCTGGCACATGGCCTACAGAAACCAGTTATTCAACACCCTAGCAACATCTTTACTTTGGTGAGTAACGAAAGTAGCCTACATTGAATCCAGTTACTACACATGGATTTCGTCTTTTGGCCACTCAAAGATCCGTTCCAGAAGGCTCAGTTTTGCCGCACTAACGCCCTGGATCAGAGCTAGATTGTACCCAACGTCTCCTTTGCCAGAGACACACATTTCCATCCGTAATCATATTTGTCATTGAAGACATTTACACATTCTCGATATGTAAATGCCAGAAATGGTTTTCCAATTCAGTAAGACAAATTAATGTAGAAATAAAGCGTTGCTTTATAGAAAAAGTGTTTGAAACAACGTGCAGTGTTCATTTGTGTCTGCATGTGGAAAGAAAACCCACCTCTTCCTGAATATTCTTGGTAGAAAAATTACGCACACATTTCGTCCATGCGTGATGGTGTCGTTTTAGGAACGCCTCTCACGTTGCTCATTGTATAGTTCTTCAGTGGCTTGAGGGAGCACTTTTTCACTCAGTATTTTGACAGTTCTGTCAAGGGAGGATTTTGCTAGGCTACTTGTGAGCATATTCTCTGCCAATAACTGATCTTCCATGTTTTAGTGGACTCAGTGATGATATGTGCATTATTTTACCCAACATCTGCAAGATCCTACAATATACTTTATATTGTGTGTGTGTGTGTGTGTGTGTGTGTGTGTGTGTGTGTGTGTGTGATTCTATTTGCATTTCATTATGTTATTTAAATTATTAATATATAATATTAATTATTATTATGGATGATGTTGTTCTTCTGAGATCATGTGTAAACAGTTCATGGCCAGTTTGGCTGTCTGCTGCTGTGGTAATTTTAGCTCAAGCCTAGTGTTTTTAAACTTCAAAGAGGCAAAAGTAATTTTAAAAGTCTATCACACAGCCTCTAAGAAATCTGGCACATAAAGTAGAATCCACATCAGAAGGTAATAGTTCAGCAGAACTAATCACATAAGTGTAAAGGCACCAATAAATAACAGTTGAGAGAGAGATTTGAGATTATTCTTTATCGTTTATAGTAAAGTAAAAGTCTGTGCTAATTACTTTATGTTAATTAGGAACTTTTTCTGACTAGCTTGTAAAATGACTACAGTACTTTTGAAAACGTTTCCCTTTGAAATGTTTATTGAATGTTCCATTTTATTGGTATGTTCAAATTCAATTACTATTCAATTGTAAAGCAAAAACAAAAACACAACACACAAACTCTATCCTTCTGTCACATGCTATGTTAGAAAGTCTCCCGTCCACACACTGAACTGTGACATTTTCACTTCCATTTTATGTGCTGTCTAGTTAGGACATTGTAAAACAACCAGTAGGCTAATCTATCCTCAAACCAGAGAGGCATTATTACCTTACTCGTGGTAAACGTTTCCCTATGGAGAAATAGGCTATTCTGAGAATGAGCCGTGTCTTGACATCCACGGTAAAACAGCCAGCATGTATTCAGTGTGGTTTCTAAGATCCATGTGAAGCCACGTATGAGATAGAAGCTTACTGTACGTGTCGCAATGGATAACTTTTCACTTCGACCTATGAACATGGCTTGGGGACTGCCAATAGTAACACTGGTAGCAATATATTGAGATGAGCGTGATGCAACACAGTCACACACAGTATCTTGTGTGCAGATTCGCTTCACGCTGTGTACAGCCTGGTAACCAGGGCACCAAAACAGCGGGGGAGTTGAGCCTCGCGCTTCAACGCTCTTAGTTGTAGTGGAAAACCCCAAGTGTGCTGTTCTGCATCTACGTCATATCGCTGAGTGTACCTTTAATAAAAATACTAAAAAGATTAGACTTTTATAGGCCTACTCCAAAATGTGTGCAAGTATACATGATCACAGTTAGATTGTTAATAAATAGAAGTAGTTCAAGTACAAGAAGAATAACACAGCTTTATTAAAATTTATTGGCTACATTTATTCGAGCATGATCATTTCCAAGAGAAATAAAAAAATCAATAATAGCCTACTTAAGACATTTTAGAAATGTTCCATCAACAACCCCTCTATCTTCAACTCTTTACCTGGATGAATAAAAAGTGGATTTTTATTGTTAAAAAATACAGTGTTTTCACAATATTGTATCAAAAGTTCCTCAAATGTTGAATTTCCAGTAGGAAAAAAAACGATAAGAACAAAATTGACAATTTTAACAATGACTGTTTTTTCCAAATACCATAGTGCCTTCTATTCATGATTTGCTCAAATAGTCAATGACAGAATCCTTTACTAAAATATATCTATTTGTTGAGGAACTATAATACTGTACACAACAGTATGAAATAAATAAAATTAGGAAATATAAAATGAGTCACATAAATAAAATGGTAATCTTAAAATTTGAATGAAATGTAATTTATGCTCGGGAAAATAAATCTACAAAAACAAAAAGTAATACTGAAAAAAAGGTCATGGAAAATACAGACAATTGCACAAACATCTGTAAACTAACGAACTGCTGTGTCTATCTATGCTAATACTGACAAGGGTACTTTGAAAAAACTAGGTGAAATACATATTTAATACTGAAGCCAGAGCAAAGATAACACAAGTCAACTCTGATTTTTACACTGTACAGGGATGGCACTTGCAGAAACGCACAGGTGAAAATGTTTGCATATAAGGCTTTCTCTTGAGAAAATAAAACATACAAAGTCTCTTGTCTGTCATACGGAGCCCTTCGTATTATACTATTCTCTCCTTCATTCTGTCACTCCATTCCGGTCCATTTTAAGACTCGCAACATATCAAAATCACACAGGTTTAAAGTTTCCTTCACATAAAGACATTTGTGAGGCCCAAAATTGTGTGGTTAGTTTGCCCAGTAAAAAGGAGGGTAGAACCAAGGACATCACAGTAAGTAGTAGACAAAGTACAACGCTGACGGACTGCTACCAAGTCTTCAAGCACAGTATAAATATACATAGGCTTTTTTTTTTTTTTTGTAGTGATTAAAGGGGCAGAGTGCAATTTCCTGGTTTGGGGTATGAACACAATAAAACACAAGGGTTAAGAACATTATAGCACCACACAGCTTTTAGGCCTTATTTAATACTGTACATTAAAAACAGCTTCATTTCATTTTTTTAATATAATGATAATCATTATTACATCATAATGTGGATTCTTAAACAATCCCACCCAGCTTGTCGTCCCAACTCTGATATTGGCAGTCACCACATTCCATGAGTCCATCATTATGAGCTTCTGAGAAGCTAGAGGCAAGCGCTTGCTTGCTTAACTTAACCACTGCAGTGCCTTTCTGAAAACAAAGCAAGTTTCATGTTCGCTGGAAGAATTGAAAAAGGAAATGAAACAAATCATGACAAATATTTTCAGAAACATTTTTTTTAGATTGACTGCGGTATTGACTTAATCTGCTTCCTAATGGTCTGACTTGGTGTCTGTTTTCCTTTCTGTTGAACTGTCATCCATCGAATGCGCCGCAACTTTCCCCTCATCATCCCTCGCCATGTCCATCCTTCCGTCACCCTCGTGCTCTCCTTCCCTGAAACTTCCCGCCTCTTGTCTGTCTGTCACCTCCTCATACGTCTCGTCCACTTCCCTCTGTCCTCGTCCTCCCCTCATCCCTCCTTCCGTGCCATCCCTCAGGATGGTGTCGCCCCCGTCCTCCGGCTGGTCCTCGGGGTCCGAGTAGCCCAGCGGCCCCAGACCCTGCAGGTAGGCCCTCCTCATCAGCAGCTCTGTGGGCTCCATGGGGCCCTGGCCCTTGTCCCAGGCCTCCCTCTCCTCTGCCTCCCTCTCAGCCGCCTCCCTCTCCTCAGCCTCCCTCTTGCAGTAGGAGTAGCGGTGGTTCATGTGCTGGGAGTAGGAGCCTGAGTGAGAGAAGCGCTTGCCACACTTGTCACATTGGTAGGGCTTTTCGCCCGAGTGCAGGCGTGAGTGCTCAATGAGGTGGTGCTTATGTTTGAAGGCCTTCTTACAGATCGTGCACTGGTGTGGTCGCTTTCCTGCAGAGACACAGGAGACAGGGAGGTAGAAGGTGTTACTACGGTGTTACTATGGTCCCCTTCTCTAGAAACACAGAAAAATACAAAGGGAAGATAAACAGTTATTCAGGAGAACAGACACGTAGTACACATTCAAAATTAGAGTGAATTTAATCTGACTTGACACAGAATGTATTGATCATTCATAAGTGCATATTGAGTGTAAAAGCATTTATATCATCAATAAGGATTTCTTCATTCCCTCCCTTCATGGTAAAACTAATTATAATAATTATAGCACACAATAATGATAGGAAGTGTTAAAATTAACCTCAATTTATGGTTGAAAATCTAACCTTAGAGCTAATTTCAGTTGCTGCTAGAAAACACTGGGGGGAGTCAGGTGAAAAAAAAAGAAAAACAGTCTATGATGGGGTTGTCTGCAACTTAGCTGCGAGCTAAGCCAGTGAACTCAGATGTGTTTCGGACACCAAGCAAGGTGAAACTGAAGCAGCCTGGCACCAGTGACAGTGTGTCCTCATGACATCATAGGTCCAGATTAAAATGAGTAGGATTAGGCATCCTTCCCGTGATGGTGTGACGGTTATATTTATAGGAGGAGGACCTTCACACCACTAGCCCCCATTCACCCCCCTTCATCCCCCTTCTCCGCCCCCACAACATGCAGTTCCTCGTACTAAAGGTTTACTACAACTCAGCGGTGCTACCGGAAATATATTCCATTCCATCTGACTTGTATTAGAAAAGATGGGCCTCTCTTATGCAAGTTCAATCGGCCCATATACAGTGCATTCTGAAAGTATTCAGACCCCTTCCCTTTTTCCACATTTTGTTACGTTACTGCCTTATTCTAAAATGGATTTTTTTTTTTTCTTCCTCGTCAATCTACACACAATACCCCATAATGATTGCAAATGTATAAAAAATTAAAATCAAAAATACCTTATTTACATAAGTATTCAGACCCTTTGCTATGAGACTCGAAATTGAGCTCAGGTGCATCCTGTTTCCATTGATCATCCTTGAGATGTTTCTACAACTTGATTGGAGTCCACCTGTGGTCTATATAAGGTCCCACAGCTGACAGTGCATGTCAGAGCAAAAACCAAGCCATGAGGTCGAAGGAATTGTCCGTAGAGCTCTGAGACAGGATTGTGTCGAGGCACAGATCTGGGGAAGGGTACCAAAACATTTCAGCAGCATTGATGGTCCCCAGGAACAAAGTGGCCTCCTTCATTCTTAAATGGAAAAAGTTTGGAACCACCGAGACTCTTCCTAGAGCTGGCCGCCCGGCCAAACTGAGCAATCGGGGGTGAAGGGCCTTGGTCAGGGAGGTGACCAAGAACCCGATGGTCACTCTGACAGAGCTCCAGAGTTCCTCTGTGGAGATAGGAGAACCTTCCAGAAGGACAACCATCTCTGCAGCACTCCACCAATCAGGCCTTTATGGTAGAGTGGCCAGACGGAAGCCACTCCTCAGTAAGGACTGGGAGACTAGTCAGGATCAAGGGGAAGATGAACGGAGCAAAATAAAGAGAGATCCTTGATGAAAACCTGCTCCAGAGCACTCAGGACCTCAGACTGGGGCGAAGGTTCACCTTCCAACAGGAGAACGACCCTAAGCACACAGCCAAAACAATGCAGGAGTGGCTTCTGGACAAGTCTCTGAATGTCTTTGAGTTGCCCAGCCAGAGCCCGGACTTGAACCCGATCTAACATCTCTGGAGAGACCTGAAAATAGCTGTAAAGCGACGCTCCCCATCCAACCTGACAGAGCTTGAGAGGATCTGCAGAGAAGAATGGGAGAAATGTCCCAAATACAGGTGTGCCAAGCTTGTAGCGTCATCCCCAAGAAGACTCGAGGCTGTAATTGCTGCCAAAGGTGCTTCAACAAAGTACTGAGTAAAGGGTCTGAATACTTATGTAAATGTTATATTTCAAAAAAACTGTTTTTGTTTTGTCATTATTGGGTATTGTGTGTAGATTGATGAGGGAAAAAAATACAATTGAATCCAAGGCTGTAACGTAACAAAATGTGGTCCAGGGGTCTGAATACTTTCCGAATGCACTATAATAGCACCCTTCCAAAGCGCATGTCCCACACTCACATGCACACACGCCTCCCATCCAACGAATGCCAATACACATACAGTACACACAACAGAATGCACGCACACACACAGGCAATTCCTAGCCTTAAGAAAGCCTTGGAATGCCTGCGACGTCATCCATAGTTGGCATACTTGAAGCCCTCCCCACCTCCCCTACAGCGGGACAAAAATAGAGGAGACAAATAATTCCTCATGGAGCTGAAAGAGAGGAGTCCCCAGGAGGAGAGGTCACATCTTTGAAGATAATTTTAAAAAGAACCAAACATGCCACACTGGCAAGCCTCCTTTTCGACCTGTCATTCTGTTAAATACCACCAGGGTCAACGCAGTAATTATTGTCCCTGTCACTGAAGGCACTGTCTATATACTGTATGTCCCTGTGTCTTAACACACTAGCGTGAACTTTAAAAAGACAGTCCCTCTTGAAGCAGAACGTTTGTTTCCAAAAAGGCCACTGGTCCTGTTACTTCCGGAGACCATATGATGTCATTTAGAATGTCTGGAGTCAGAATGACTACTACTATGGTGTCTGTGATGAACGCAATGATGCTCACTTCTACTTTACTGAATGTTTATGTAACCCCTTTCATATCCAAACATCCCACTATTCCCTAACCCCTGTCAATAAGAAAGGAGCATGTTAAAGGTCATGGATCTGAACACATAGAATGTAAATGATGTGAAAGAGAAGAGAGAAAAGAAGAATTAACATTGGTGGAAAAAACGATTTGATCTAGAACGAAAAAAGAGAGGATGAAGTAAAAAGATTTTAAATCTGAAAAAGCTTTCAATGACACAAAACATGGCGGGGGACTGGCACAAAGGTGGGGTAAAAAAGAAGTGTTCGAATGTTATATACCTGTGTGTTCATATTTGTGTCTTAGGAGGGAACTGGTCTTCTGGAATGTTTTGTCGCACAAGTCACACGCGTACATACCACTTTCTGTCTTCTTAATCTTCTTCCGGGAGAGGAGCGATTCGTCTGTCAGGTCCTCCAGGCCTGACAGATAGTCCGCAGTGCCATCCAGTAGCTCCCCCTATGAGATGAGAGAGGCAGACTGTTCAATACTTTGTAAGTAGCCCACACCTGTCACCTAAACAAAGACACCTCTGCTCTTAGTTTGATCCCAAGTCTGGACAGGGCTTAGTCGTCGATCCGTGTGACCTGTGACCCCCTCTTACTGCCCAGGACAGGAGACAGTAAAAAGGGAACATATGGGCTTTTTAAGTCTGTGTTGTGGATTATTTTCTTTATTTTTTGGGGGGACGTATTTACAAAACAGACAGCCACAGTGCAAACTCATCTAATTAGAGGAAATTATTTGAGAAAAACACAATTTTAACAGATTTTTTAAAAACTAATTTAAAACATTTAATTTGTTTTGTGTTGAGTGTGACTTTATCCATTAGATACTAATTTAAAAGGGCTAAATGTTTATTGTTAACTTCTAAAAATTGACTTTAGTGAATGGATCTAAAACCACAAAAGGGCTTGCTTACCTTGAAACCTGGTTTCCGTTGGTACTTCCTCGACCTCTGTTGCATTTCAGAGAATGTAGCCGCCCCAGTTGCATAAGTGTAGGCCATGTGGGGCAGAAAGCTCATTGGATCCAGCCCTGGGTATGGCCTCAGGCCTGGGATGCTGGCCTGGGCCTGCATGAAGCTGGGCGGGGGGAATGCTCCATGTGTGGGCAGAGATGTGTACATGTGACCACCACCGAAGGGGTTGATGCCAAAGATGGGGCTGGCACTCTTCTCTATCTGGTGTTCACGGTTCCCTCTGTTGTCTCTCTCTGAGCCCAGGAACTCCTTCTTGATGTGGGCCAAGTCCATGGGCTCAGTACCCTGCTCCTGGCTGGAATGGTGGTGGTCACCGTTGCAGTCTGAGATGTAGCCGTTTGGTTTGGACCTCTTTTCTCCCAGTGAGATGCCCTTGCTCATCATGTGTTTTGGCAAAGAAAGGTCCAACGGTGCGTCCCCCCCATGGCCGTCCCCTTCAGAGACCAGGCTGTTTGGAGTGTACGAACTGCTCTGGGAGTTTTTAGAAGAAGTGGAGGAGAGATTGAGAGGAGATGGAGTTCTGCTTCTAAGGTGGTCCAAGGGGTCTAGTGGTTTGTCACACATCTGCCTGTTGGCTGTAAACTGGCTGGCCTCTAAGTGTCTGTGGGGAGCATCACGGTAACCGTTGGTGTTCCCGGCGTGTAAATCAGGGAGTGTCATGATGCGGTCCACGTGTTGCGCCATGGACATTGGTGACCTGGCTAGCCTGTGCTGCTTGCGCTCCTCTGGACTGCTCCGCTCTGACGGCAGCGACCGCTTCCTGGGGTTGGCATTGCCGTTGTTGTATTGTTGTTGCTGCTGATTCTTCCACTGGGAGAACCACTCCTTGACGAACTCCTGCGGTAGGCCGACTGCGATGGAGATCTTCAGCAACTCCTCTGAGTTGGGTTCCGTGTTCATGGCAAAGTAGGCCTTGAGCACTGACACGTGGTTCATAAAGGGGTTGACGGGGCTGGTGGCGCACCTCTCTGAAAGAGAGGATAGCAAGGTGGCCTGCTGCTCTGAGGGGAACACTCCCCTGCGGCTGAGAGACACGTCCTCGCTGGGTTGGAGGTGGTTGATCTCCTCGTTCTTCTTACACAGGTAGCGCTCATGCTGGTGCAGTGGGATGGGCCCTGGGAAGGTCTCCTTGCAGAACTGGCAGGAGAACGGCAAGAATGGAACCTGGTGGCTCTCATGGTGCGACTTGTCCACATGATCCGCCGAGTGGTTGAGCCTCTCCTTCTTGATGTCCATGTTGATCTGCCTCTTGGAGTCGTCAATCAGGCTTTTGGCCTCGTTCACCTTCTCCAGGGTGTAGTCGATTATGCTCTTGGTGGGGCTGCCTTGGCCCACCACCTGGAAGCCAGCATGCGGGGAGGACACGGCCAGCTTCTGCTCCTCCATCTGAGCCCCCAGCTCCTTCATATAGGCCCTGAGCTTGGAGATCTCCTCCGGGTTCCCATCCATCTTCTGCCGACACACTGTGTTGTCCACGATCTGGAGGACCTTCTGCACCTCGCTCAGGTTGTTCCCCAGGGACCCATAGCCCAGCAGGGGCAGGTCCAACCCCATCCCACCCAGGTGCTGCAGGGGGCTCTGGGATGAGCTGTGGACCCCCAGGGGGCTGCCTCCTCCGCCGGCTCCATTCATGTAGCCCCCTGGCCCGCCAACGCTATACTGGGAGGCCATCAGTAGCCGGTAGTCGTTGAAGTCCATTGGCTCTGCCTTGATGTCCAGGTGACCCTGCTGGTCTTGGGGGCCCATGGGGCGGCCGTTCTCCAGCTTGTGGCGGAGCAGAGCCAGGGCGGGGCTTCCCGGGGAGGAGGCGGTGGAGTTAGGGGAGGAGCCAGCCTTGGTGTTGCCTCCTCCGTTACGTACTCGTCCGTTGACGGAGATCAGACCGATGCACTTCTTGCTGCTGATGTGGGAACTGTAGGAGCCGGAGTGAGAGAACCGCTTCTTGCAGTTGGAGCACTCGTATGGTTTCTCACCTGTAAACGATAAACAAGTACATGAATTTCAAGTTACTCCATTTTGAATACTTGCACTTGGCTGGTAGTGAAATAGCTGAAGATTTCTTTCAGTGTGAAAATTAGCATTTCTATGATAGGTCTATTCAACTCTCGTCTTCTTGAGCTGTGGCCTCATCCATATGGCGGAATTAGTCACTTATGAAACAGGTCTGAAACAGTGAGCTATTATAAAACAGAATGACTCATTTACTGACAGAGGCCAAAAAGGAACATTATCAATTTTACTCTTATGGCATGCGCCCTCTCTGTCATCTAGCCACAGTCACATGAATACATTTTAAAATGGTGGGCTGATGCCAGCTTGACTCAGCTTAGTACCTACCGCTGTGAATGCGGAGATGCTCCTTCAAGTGATGCTTGTATTTGAAGGCTTTTCCACACTCAGTGCATTTGAACTTGCGGTTGCCGGCCCCTTCACTCAGCAGCTGGGGCTGTGGAGGAGATAGAAGATAGAGTTTTCACATCAATGCCACCTAAACGTGTTGTCTAAGAGTGGGAGTCACAAATGAACCAGGCACTGGGGGAGATTTCAAGGTAGCTGGCCTTGAGAAGGAATGTAATGAATTTGTCTTAGCTTCAACGGTAGGCTACTTTGCAACACAATAACACTCCGTCACGAACGTTAACTACATCTAACTACATAAGTATTTTTTAGGGTTTTACATCCGAAATGGTTTAATTAAAATGATGAAGCGCGCAAGCAACTCATCAACCGATTTCTAGAATAGTGTGTGGGTTGAGTTTTCGTGTTCTGTTCAAAGGTAACTGTTTAGTGTAGGTGCATTTCCTGCATTTCCTGAAATTCAAATGAGTGCAGATAACAAACAAAAATAATATGTAGAGAGATAAAGCCCCCACAAAGAACTTCATGAGAAAGATGTGGGAGGTTTGCATGGTACATTTTCAATTACAAAAAATCCCTTTTCGCTAATGCTTGCTGAGGATTCTATAAATAAGATGTGTGTTATTGTGTGTGTATGATTGTGTATGTGTGGAGTTAAGGCATTCCTAAGGCCAGGTGACATTTCAGGTCAGAGCATGTGATTAGGGTTACATTGTAAAAATGCTAGCGATCTGAAAAATGGAGCCAATGAATGATGTGCCTTCATAACCAAATGTATGAACAGTTTACCCCATGCTAAAAATAGATTCCACTGCTCTAGTCACACAGAGGATAAGCAGAGTAGCACAATTCACACGTTTGCACCAATAGGACTCAAATCTGAATCCCTCCATAGTCCGGTGCACTAAGGTAGCCTAGTCATAATGACCTTCCATGAAGATCCTTCCTTTAACTCTTTTAACTGGAGAGGAAGTACATAACTAAACAAACACTTAAGTCATTTGAGGATTATGATACTCCAGATCACTGGGGAAAAAACATCTGGTCGTTTTTAAGCCAGTCTGAAGGGGGAGAGGAGAAGGGGGAGGGGTTCAGGTGAGGGGGTGGAGGGGGACTTGGGGAGGAAGGGGGGGGTGCTTAATTAAGGAAATCTAATTATAATCACCACTATAATTGGAAAATTGTAATGATTCCACTGCTTATTTGCCTGGTCTGTCATAAGAGACAGTTGTAGGTTCGGTTTTAGGACAGAAAAAAGGCCTACACTTTTGGTTTTTGGTCTTTATGTTTACAAATGGCAGGTTGTAAATGGTTGTACTTGTACTGATTCCCTGGTTAAAATCTAAATACAAATTTAATTACATTTTATCCGTCACATGCTTGGTAAACAACAGGTGTAGACTAACAGTGAAACGCTTACTGACGGGCCCTTCCCAACAACGCAGACAGAAAGAAAATAGAGAAATAAAAAAACAAGTAATGATAAATGTGGTACCAGATATCGAGTCAATGTGCAGGGGTACAAGGTAATTGAGGTAGACGTACATATAACTAGGAATAAAGTCACAGATAATAAACAGTAGCAGCAAATCCTACAAAACTGGTATATAATAAATGCTATGCTCAGCGAAAGCACTGCTTATCACTGCGTATTGATCCATAGGAAATTGTCCATATATCTAGCAATATCTATGAGTGCTAATGTCTAATCAAATCTGGTCCATTTCTAGCAACAGCTGATGTAAAAAGTCATATGGCCTGAGGAAGGCAATATGCTAGCACATCCCACGCAGGACTCACTGAAGGAAGATGCATGGTGGAGCGCAACACAATGCAGCTGTGAACAAGCAGTGCGTGGTCTGAAGCAGTGCGTGGTCTGAAGCAGTGCAGGGGTCTGAAGCAGTGCGGGGTCTGAAGCAGTGCGGGGTCTGAAGCAGTGCGTGGTCTGAAGCAGTGCGTGGTCTGAAGCAGTGCAGGGGTCTGAAAGCAGTGGCGGTGGTTGAAGCAAGTGCGTGGTCTGAAGCAGTGCGTGGTCGGAAGCAGTGCGTGGTCTGAAGCAGTGCGTGGGTCTGAAGCAGTGCGGGGTCTGAAGCAGTGCGTGGTCTGAAGCAGTGCGTGGTCTGAAGCAGTGCGTGGTCTGAAGCAGTGCGTGGTCTGAAGCAGTGCGTGGTCTGATTTTTTAAAGAACTAGACCTCAGTAGTAACTTGTTTAATGTGAGAGGAGTAGAGGATGACAGGAAGAAGAAAGGAGAATGCTAATTCACTCAAGAGAATATGATTCTCCATGCAGAAGAGTCACCATGAGGAAGCCATTAAAGTCATTATAATGAACAAAAATCTTAAAAGGAAAAATAAATGAGTGAAGGGCAGTGAGCTAAAATGATACTGTGTGTTTCACCCAGATTGTTGGTCAACCCACCGAACGACACAACAGAGTGTGAAGGAGATCAGATCAGATGAGGAAAGAAAAGAGGAGATTAAGAGGAGAAGATAACCAGAATAATAAACACACCTGTCTATTTGTTTGTCTGTCTGTCTGTCTGTCTGTCTGTCTGTCTGTCTGTCTGTCTGTCTGTCTGTCTGTCTGTCTGTCTGCCTTCCTGTCTGCCTGCCTGCCTGCCTGTCTGCCTGCATGTCTGTCTGTCTGTCTGTCTGTCTGTCTGTCTGTCTGTCTGTCTGTCTGTCTGTCTGTCTGTCTGTCTGTCTGTCTGTCTGTCTGTCTGTCTGTCTGTCTGTCTGTCTGTCTGTCTGTCCGTCTGTCTGTCTTACCTGATCTCTCCCTGGCATGTTCATGGCCATATGTCTCTCCAGCTGTGTGCGGTGGGAGAAGGTCTCGCTGCGCAGGGGGCAGGCCACGCTCTCCTCATTCTTCTCGTGGCGGTACTTGATGTGCTCCTTGAGCGATGTCAGCCGCTTGTAGCCCCGGTCGCAGTAAGGACAGGTCAACAGTTGGGCGAAAGCATCTGGAGTCCCAGGTGACAGGTCTGTACAGGGGAAAGAAGGAGGAGGAGAGGTCATAAGGTCGGCTAGTAGACCCTGATGGGCAGCATGCCCAGGTTGTAAACGGAGGAAGTTGTATGTAGTTGTCTATGTAGTCAGCTTCAGCTTATACTTAAACACACACTACCCATGAAAGTCACTCAGTAACACTACTGAGGACAAAGGCATAGACGTGGTAGGCCTATAACGCAGTTCCTGAGACTGCAAATAGTCCGTCAAATGGATTTTCTGGATTCTCACCATTTTCGTTTTCGTCTTGCCCAATGGTCTCGGGAGTTCCGAGTCGTGCTACTTCCTCTGGGGCTTCTGGGTAAATGATGGCGGTGTCGCCACGCTGGAGGTACTCAGCGATGTTGGCCGAGTGGCCGTCACTCTCCTCCAGTTTACTACACTTAGTGAAGTAGTCGTCAACCTCCGACACCCCATCCATACTACTGACTGTATAAGAGGAAGAGGATGAGGAGGATGAGGAGGAGGAGGAGGAGGAGGAGGAGGAGGAGGAGGAGGAGGAGAGGTGGAGGTAGAGAAGAAGAGAGAGGAAGACAAATTAAAACATTGGTCAGTCTCCATCCTCCTTGCCCCATTTTGAGATGTGCTGCACAGCTCCATTATATTGGCCACAGGGAAACAGACTGGTCTCTAAATGTGATGAAGGACACCGAGGGAGGGAATCATTAAGCAACTACTTAGAGGGGAGTATACATCTATGTTACCATTAATGATGTCATGTAATGGCTTCTACATAGAAAAATAAGAGATAATTTCATCATTAAGTGATGTTCGCAACCCATCTTAAAGCTTTTAGACATTTTAACTTAAATATTTCCTAGTGTAACAGGTAATTGGTTTAGGTTGCAATTAGATTTTCTGGGTTTACAGATCTCACTTAGAATTCTCTCTCTCTACATAATTTAAAGCAGAGATTTGATTATGAGTAAGTAAATGTAGGGCTATGTCTGCTTAACAGTCAGTGCAGGCATAATGGTATATCAGGTGTCTAATGCATTCATCAGCTGATTTAACAAATCAGGAAAGTTAGGGTAGCTACATTTATTTGTCTTAGGATCATTACTGTTTGCTATTGGCTTGTGTGTTGTGCGCAGCTGTGACACAGATTCTGTGTATATTTTTGTTGTTGAAAATATCCTTAAAACGAAGGACACTGAACTTTCCCGAAGCGGCTTGGATCCCTTGAAGTTACTCTAGGCAAGGTTGTGTTGATAAAAACGGTCAATTGCAAAGATATTGTGATTCACTGCAAGGACAAACTAACATGTTATTGTCTCGTTGTAAACCAATTTAAAAGTACATTAATCAAACAAATGAGATTTAGGTCAAAACTCAATTTTGCAGCAAGATGTGATTTGCGCTGCACTCTCACTCAACCCGCAAATGTTTCCTTTGCTTTCCCTCGCTTTGATGCACGAGGAGGAACATTATCTCTCATGGCCCTTGACTGTGTGTGTGTGTGTCTTTCCTATTAGGTATATCACCTGCTGCAAAGGGTTATAATCATGTCTCTTCCTAGTGTGTTGCCGTTTGGGTTTTTATGGTGGAACGGGGGAGTTATAGTAAATATGGTGGTTCCTGTTAAAGAGGGTGGAAGTCACCTGTACCATTTCCTACAGCGTGAAGAGACCCCTCTGGCCCCAAGGGATCATATTCGTCCTTCCTTTCATCTATGAAGGAGAGGAGAGAAAGGCTTCAAATCAGACAATCAACTGTGGCTAACACAGCACTCAATAAACTCAAGTATGACCATGGTTCAACACTCGAGGCAAAGTCAACAGGAATGCACATGGCGCATGCTAGCCTGACAATTCAGTTAAGTATCTCTTTCCATTCAGCCACGGCTCGTAATATGAATGTTTTTTTTTCTCCAGATAATGAGGGATAGGCAGGTCGAGGGGTGTACATATACTGTGCCCATTGTGTTTGTTCCTCCTGGCCCCACTCATGTGACTCCTCCACAGGAGTCACAAGAATCATACGCTTCCTCTCTTCAAAGGAGGGATATACAACACGCCTGCCTGCTGCAGCAGAGGGGGGGGGGACGACGACAAGAGAACAGACTCCCCCCCCCCCATCTCCCCCCTTTTTCATTTACAGCAGGTTACTTTTCAAAACTTCCTTCCTCATGAGCAATGAGTGTCAAACAGGAACCTGATGCTGTGCTTTTTTACACCAAAATAGTCTTGCTATGAGTCAAAGGAGTCACAAGGTACTATACACAACCTATTGAGAACATGTCAACATAGGACCAATGTTTATAGTCCATTGGCACAAACTTTGTGGTCCAAAAGAGTAAAAGGTTGAAGGTAGAATGTCTGGAAATTAGAAGCTAGTTTTCCTACTTAAATTCCTAAATAATGTGGATGAAAACTATTTTATTTATCATAATTCGAAGATTAAATATAATCAAGAAGCGAGGTCTCACCCTTTTCCCTACAACGTTTCCCCCCATGCACCACACAGATAGAAATAGTGGTGCTGCATGTTTCAGAGAATAACTGCACAAATGCATGCCTCTTCTGATGGGGAAAGCATTGTTGCTTCCCTTCGCCTCAACTTCAGGTTCACTGCCAGACTTTTTAGAATGAGTTTCATTCAGCCAACATGGGGCTTTTTGTGGGTTCCATGGCTCAGAGTAAGGACAAAGGCATGTGAGTCACGCCCTGGTGCCACTGTCGTAGAATCTAGACACTGTACTCAAGTGTCATTCTATTTTCAGTAGGCCCCTCCTTCACTACGCTTGCACTGTATATGAAATATGAAATATAAAATGGAGTCTCTGTGTTTTTCACTCAGTAGTCTTTTTTCCTAGAGAGGAAGAGGCAAGATGGTGGGTACAGTAAATTAGCATTTCAGTTATTTTCTGATTTCTCGATGTGACTCAAACTGCCACATCTCAGGACTGCTCATCTTTTTCAGTACGTTGAAGTGACACCCAAGTCTTTTACATCTGTTGCATGAGTGAAATGAATATTCATCAGTTTACATATAAATGTCAAATGCCAGTTGAATTAAAATCAAACCACTTAACAAATAGCTAGGTTAGCATTAGCTATAACGGATTGTAGCAGATGTGTTAACCTGGCATTGATTTATTTTACAGCTTTCTTATAATGATCATGATAATAATGATAACATATACATAAGCTCCCCACAAGGCTCTTTTCATTTACATTTCGTTTTGGACCGGGTTCAAATTTTCTAAAACTCCTTCCCAGTCCCTCCTATTTCCCAATTCAGCAGCGCAGCTCGCCACCAAGTCATTAACAGAGACGGATAGTCGATGCTGGTCCATTTTTCTTTTTTTTTAAACTGGGTGTCTCGCATGAGCCCTTTGTATCTGTCAGGCGGCCCTAGAATGGTGGGCCTAGTGTGCATGTAGATGGCCGTCATAAAGCGCCACATTTCCTTTAGGGCTGTTAATGAGTCCTGCAAAAACCTGGCTCCCCTCTTAACAACCCCGCGTGGCTTCTAATTAAAAGTATTTGTCCTTTGCCGCCCGGGGTGTCCTAAACTGATGCATAGGCGGGGGAGAAGGGAAGGGAGAAGGAAGAGAGAGAGAGAGAGAGTAGAGAGAGATAGAGAGTAGAAGAGCTGATGAGAGAGAGCTAAGGTATATCGAGATATACGATATCATCTCGCGACTAGATCTAGCCTCGAGCGCCATGCTCTCTCTCTTCTCTTCGTCTCTCTCTTCTCTTCGCTTTCTCTCTCTACGATACTCTCGTTTCTCTCGCTCTCTTCTCTGTCTCTGCCGCTCTCTATCTCCTCTCTCGCTCTCTTCTCTCTCTTTCTCTCTGCTCTTCTCTCTCTCTCTCTGCCTCTTCTCTCTTGCTTATAAGGAGGCTTTTGGCTACAGCCCACTAAACTGAGTCTAATTATAAGGACTTTTATATCAGGTTGTTTTCATAAATATATGCAGGGTTACAATTATGGGTCAATGAGAATGAAAGGCTTTTACAAGAGAGAGAAGGAGAGAAAAGAGGGGAGGGAGAACGGTGAAAGCTCAGAGGTGATGGTGTGAACAGTCATACAGCGATGAGTATGGGAGGGAGGGAGGGAGGGAGGGAGGGAGGGAGGGAGGTGGTTTTGCGACGTGAGCCTGTGAAGCAGCTAAAGTGCTGACTGTATTTCAGCAGCAATACGTCTCACTAGAATAGAGCACTATGTTAATCTCTACAATCTCCTGTCAACCTCACAGAGATCCGGAAATTGAAAAAATAGACAGAGTATAGAACAAAGCCACTTCCAAGGCTCCAGCTGTTTTAGCATAAACTGAAGAGGTGAATATACTGTATTATTATGAGTTCTGTAATTGATTTACATCAGTGAAGTGTGTTGATTGATCTCCTGTCAAAGCACTTTGTGACAACTGCTGATGTAAAAAGGGCTATATAAATGCATTGGATTGATATAGGCTACTGATTTATGTTGTGCAGGTATTGAACTGATCAGATCACTTACCAGTCCCATTGAGGTGTCTGTGTGGGTCGTCTCCGAGGCGCCAGGCATGGTGGTGGCTCTGCCGCCCGTCCCTGCCCTCTGACCCCTCTGCTCCACCCCTGTAGGACAGCAGGGCGTGGCCCACCCTGGGTGACGCCTCCAGGTTGGGCACGCCGGCTCCGGGAGGGCTGCCACCCTCCTCCCCATTGGTCAGGCCGTTCTCCTCTGAGAGCAGCGTCCTGTCATCCTCGTCTGTCTCGGAGCCCATCTCCACCACATTCTCATAGTTCAGCACTGCAAGACACAAACAAAGAGACGCTGTTAGGTTTCTAAAACAACATCCGCCTAACTCGGCTCTGGTGGTAGAAAGGAGAAATGAGAAAAGTCACATTCCTGCTTTGAAAACTTTCGGGAGCTTTTTATACACCGCAGACAACCTAGGAACCAAATGGACAGCTTGTAATACTACATCCCTGAACATTGATACAAAACAAGTGGTTGATTTTGATTCAGGCTGAACTCAAGGGCCTTCAGGGTAACCTATAAATATGTCCGCTTTGGTGTAGCGGAAAAATACTCTGATAAAGGTGCATGAGAAAAACAGTCATAGGCCCAAAAGAGAAAGTAAATTGCTTGTTTGGGGATATTATTTGGTTCCCCTCAACAGTTTTTCGAAACCATAAACCTTTACATCCTAACAACATACCATTCCATTTCCCACACACGTTCCCATGGAAGAGAATAGAAAATACATTTTTTTTCACTTTTCCCCTTTGGGTACATCGAGATTAGGCTTTGCATATTTGTTCATAATATGATCTTTGTCTGACTGTATGGTTCGGCACTTGCCTCCCAGACAACTGCGCAACAGGTGCAAATTAAAAAGGGTAGCCATGGTGGGGTGTGCTGGAATCTGCTGACCCGAGCAGCGGAGGGGGGTTTAGGGCGTGGGACAAAACCCACTGTAATAAGAGGTGTGACCACAAGGTTTTAGGGGGACTTCGGACAGGGTAATGCCTTCTCCGATCAGAAAATAAGAGAAAGAGTGACTGAGAGGAAGAAAGGGGATGAAAAGTAAGACCTTAAAACACGTTGTGTGGTCTAGCTATTCAACGTCTTTACCTCGCGCTCACCCTCATACACCCTCCCCTCTTTAGTCCCGCCAGAACCGCAACAACAGTGGATTTGCCTTTTTGCTGAATTAAATATCTGACCCTTTTTTAACTCTGAGCTAAGAGCAGTTTGGAAAAGACCAGTGAAAAGACCAGCTAGCATCCTATCCACTTTAAGAAAGTGTGTTTTTGCCATCTAGACTTGCGTGTGTTATTATACCACAGATGATATGTAGGCACATTTACTTTAGGAAAGGATATTATTCAACTAATTTCTTCCAGGAAAAAGAGAGAGAAAGACGCATGCCTCCCATTTCTAGAATCACTCACCAGCCGACAAAGATAAATGTTTGTGGGGAAAAACACAAAGACAACTGTTTGTTTGTTACTTTACTTATGTTGCTCAGATACTTGGCCAGTGTGTGGCTGTTTTGTATCTGTGTTGCGGTGGGCGGTAGGCGGACGGAGAAAAGTCAGTAACCTCCCAAACAAAAGCAATTCATCTAACTGTTTGTCTCCCAGGTCACATGGTCTAGTAGTGTGGCAGATGTCACAGGACTAAAGCTACAGGCTAGAGACTACAGGCTGGGACCTCAGTTGCTGTGTGTCTCTAAATCAATAGTTCTGGTTGGAAATGACTTTAGACATGCCACCTGTACATACAAGCTGTCATTACTCTTGATGGTAATTAGCAAACTGTTTTTCTGTAGGTTTAGTCAGGATAAAGCGAGTTATAACAACTCTGCCACAGAGAGAGCCAGGGAGTGTGTGCTTTGTCTCCAGTGACATGTTTGATAGAGCCCCACACTTCGCTCCATCTCGCCGTACCTCCATTGTATGTGGAACGCCGCCGTTCCGACCTGCTGAACTCACAGAGATCCATTGTCTCCTCCCGTCACCTCTCCAACGATCGATTCTTTGTGCTCATTCAAGGATCCTGAGACAGAGCATTAATTAATCTCTCTCTGCCTCTCTCTCTCTCTCTCTCTCTCTCTCTCTGCCTCTCCCTCTCTCTGCATCTCCTCTCTCGCTCTCTGCCTCTCTCTCTCTCTGCCTCTCCTCTCCTCTCTCTCTATCTCTTTCTCTCTCTCTCTCTCTCTGCCTCTCCTCTCCTCTCTCTCTATCTCTTTCTCTCTCTCTCTCTCTCTGCCTCTCCCTCTCTCTCTCTGCCTCTCCCTCTCGCTCTCTCTCTCTCTCTCTCCCTCTCTCTCTCCCTCTCTCTCTCACTGCATTAAGGACATTCATCTTGACCCTCCCTATCTGGTTTGGTCATCTCCTCTGTTATATTTTACTCCAGTCAGATTCTCAGTAAGGCCTCTTTTATGTCACTAATGCATCCAGCTGTTTGAAGGTATGACTTAATGCCTCCAACCCAAGCTACAAGTTCCAGGCAGGTGGCTTTAAAAAAGGTTTGCTATATCGATCACAGACAGTGTTTTCTAGCATGGTGCAGGTAGTGCAGGGTAGGAGTACCATTCCTTACTGACAATGCCTCCTGAGTGTCTGTGAGAAGGATGATGTTCGTTGATTGATTGATTGGCTGGCTGATTGGTTGATTGGTTGCTTGATTGATTGGTTGATTATCACGATCCAATGCCCAACCCCTTCCACTCTGTTTACTTTACATTCAAGAAAATCTATAGGTAAGGTTAGGAGGTGGGGCTTTCTTGCAGTGCAGGGCACCATTCGTGGATCCTGGATGCTGATAGCATGAGCAGCCAGGGTGCAATTTATGGGGAGCCAGGGTGTGCTCAGCTCCCCTGAATGAGACATTGGCCCCAAAATGCAACAAAAGTCAAACTTTTGGGGGTCTCTAAATAATCTTAATCTAACCATTCTCCTATTTCATTCAAAGGCAGTGGTAAATATGTTTTACAGTGGTAAATATGAAAATAAAAGCACCCCCACCTCTCTATAATTGTTTAATCCATTTATTTCTACATGGCTGCACAAACCATCTCCCTGTCCATGAATGGTGTAAATTCTATAGAGAGGCGCTGTCCACTCAGTAGGGTTGAATTTCGGCCTCAGCTGAGTTCCTTTAAACGCATAGATATTCCTTTGTTCGCCATTTGTTTGCCATGTGTCCTTGATAAGAAAAGAAAAAAAGCCTATTAGTTCATTAGAGATGAATTTGATTTATCCGTTGATTTATCATTGTTTGGTTTTGTCAGTCAGCTGTTAGAGCGCTCATTGTTTTGTTTTTTAGTTGTGTGTGGGTATTGGTGTTCTCCGTGGCCACAAGAAGTAGACCATCTATTTAGCTTTATTATTTTCTATCAAAATGTGTTTTCTTTCCTGGATCAGCTGAGGATGGTCGACAATATCACTAGACAACTAGACACCAATGCGCATCCAGTCCATCCAGATAGTAGGCTATAAGTTAATGACAGTACGACTATATACAGTTAACGCTTTCGGTTAGAAGCATTCGATTTTGCAGTGGCAAAGGTCTACATTATTTTAGATTTGAGAACTGTTTTCACAGAGAAACATAATGAAATGTTACGTAGGCATAGTTATACACTTAAAGTGCATTTTCCGAGATCTCCAAGATCCAGGATTCCAACAGGGTTTAGGTTCAATGTTCTAATTCAATTGTTAAATGCGTAATAATGACAAATAACACAGCCATAAATGTCATTAATGTAAGGAAAGAAAGGTAGTGTTTTATGACACACGATCTGTGAAGACCCCCAAGCATATCTGTTTACAATGCCTTTATCAATTCATTGTCTCTGTTTCTAAATGGTGATTGTGTGATGTCAGGATATATCTGCTAACCTTGATATCTTAATGGCGCTTTGAAGACAACTGGGAACTCAGGAAAAAACAAGGTCAAATCATGACGTCAGTGATCTTCAGTTCGGAAAGTCAGAGTTCTAGAAAGATGCCCAAGTTTCCAACTTGGAATTCCGAGTTGGATGACCATTTTAAAACTATTTTCTCAGTCGGAGCTAGTTTTATTCCGAGTTCCCAATTGTCTTGAATGAACTGAAGTCAGAAGTCAGAGATTTTCTGAGTTCCCAGTTGTTTTGAACGCGGGATAAGCAGCTTTTTCTGAAGCCTGTGGTGCAGGCCTAGTGGTGGGTAAACGCACCTAAACGCAGTTTACCCTCCCTTTTCAGAAAAAATGCATTGAAATTATAGGGAGCGTTACTTTTTTCACCGCGACCCGCAATCGGAATTTAGCCACTTTTTTAAACACACTAGGCTACATCACAGGCTACAGGTAGGCCTATTTGAAGTTCATGGTAATACACATTGTAGCCTAGTCTAGTAAATTGACTGTGTGTGCTAGGGTGACCATGACGTTTTTTCTTGGACAGTTTCGGCCTAATTTCATGTGTCCCGATTACAAACAAGGTCAATTTGTCAGCAAGACGCAATCGCCGAATGTCATTAGGCACACTGTTTGGTGTTTTGTAACAGATATTAATTTCCATTAATCAAATTTTGCAAGTGCACATGCAGTGCACTGTTTGGATGCTGGAATTGCTTTGGAGTGGAAGAACATGCACTTTTTGAAGTGATTTGTTTGACAATCAGATAATATAAGGTAATTCATTTTTACTGTTAAATGACATCTTTACTATTAGGCCTATAAAAAAAAGACCCTGTGTTGGCCGTCACAGACACACCTATGCCTGCTAACAGTTCCATCGAAAAGTTATCACTGCGCCTCCATAAGAATATCATGTTCATGTTGCTGTCCGAATCATCTCTTGTATTTATCTCAACTCGCACATTATTTCCTCTTGCTTCCATTCTAGCTTTTAGTTTGGTACAGCAGGGGTTAATATTAGCCTTGCTGTCTGCCTGTCCTCGGAAACAATGTTTCACTTTAGAAGTAGTACTATACATACAGTGAACGGTGCCCAGATGAGACGAGACAACTTTTTCTGAGCCAGTCGAAATCATGCATCTACGTCATTATCATGGACATATCCAAGTAAATGCCAATTGAATAAAAGCTCAAACAAACAAAAATGCAGCTAGGTTCATTGTTTGATGTGACTGAGTTATCTGAAGTTGGCTAGCTAGCTAGTAAGTGACAAGAACGTTAGCTATCCAGCCTGCATAGCAACCATTTTGTTTAGAACGGACGACCAGGCCTTTTGCATAGCAACTATGCAAAAATAATTAACGACTGGGTCTGTAGCAACATGACCAAACGAACTAACAACCAGATTTTTGTCCGGACTATATCGTCTGATGGAAGAATTAAATTGTATGAATTGACTTATCAAAATAACGCTTTAATGAAAATATGTAATTCATTGTTCTTTTAAATATGTTGGTAACAGTTTTATAAAAGCTATCGCGTCGGGCCGAAACAACGCCATTTACCTGTGACTGTATTCATGATACAGCACTGCCTCTTGTGCCTTATGACTTAAATAAACCCATCATAATTTTAATATAGTACAAATCCACTAAATCCTATGAAACAGACATTCCAGTATCAAGACCATTAACTACAACTGTTTGTTTCAATATGATCTAACTGCCTTTGATGAGCATGCCCTTAAGGCGTGTAAATGCGCTAACTAACAGGTGCATACCATACCTGTCACATATCATATTAATTCCATAAAAGACAACCCTCACCACATCTTCGCCTGTCCCCAGGCTCTGCAAAGACCACACCTGCCCTCTCCTCTCCTGAGGGAGGCTCCCTTCCTCGTCGTCCATTTTAAACCCCACAGTTCAACAGATGCATCAGACAGGTTCCTTGCATATGCCATGAGGGGCTAGTATCCACTCCATACAGTCTCTTTCTCTCTCTTTCTCTTCTTTTCTCTGTGCGGCTCTTCCATGAAAAATGCCAGTTCCATATTTACACACAGACACATTGGTGGTGTATGTGTGTGTGTGTGTGTTTGATATGATCATAAAAAAAAGAGACATGTTTCAGGTCTACTGCTGGCTCCAGGTGATCTGCACGCTCTCCTGTCTCTCCTGTCTGCCGCTACCACTGCCTGGGAAATGAGAGATGAGGTGGAAGCTACTGGAGAAAAACTGCTCTCTCTGTTCTACCTCTCTCTCTTTTCTCTCTCTCTCTCTCTCTCTCTCTCCCTCTGCCTGTGAGTGGTGCAGATCACCTGAGCGAACAACTGGAGGGGGGGAGGTGAGTGAGTAGGTAAGGAAGCGATAATCCCAGATAGACAGGTAGGGGTTTTCCACACACAGGAAGGTGGGAAATAAAAGTGTAATATTATTTCCTGAGAATGTTACACGGAAATAGCCTACAGTATGAATGATTTGCCATAATACTAGAACTACTCTCAGGGAAGTGAAATGTAGATTTTTCTCATACAGTAGCTGTTGCATTGTTTATCAGCTGGCAGTGTAGGCAGGAAGCATTAAAAAGCGTGTGTGTGTGTATGTGTACATCAAGGTTGTGCGAGCCAGGAGGAGGGGGGTGATTCCACAGTAGCCGGCCTCAAATTGAATGAAACATTTATCTAGAGGGTCCTGATCTGGAAACAAGGCGAGAGAAATAAGAAAGAGGGACCAAGAGAAAGATCTCAGTTTACCTACAGCGCCCCGATGGCCCACCTTTCCCCCTTCCTCTCTCCCTCCTTTCCTCCCTTCCTCCTTTACTCCCTCCCTCCTTTCCACTCTCCCTCCTTGCCTCTATCCCTCCATTACCCCCTCCCTCCTTTCCTCCCTCCTTTCCTATCTCCCATCTTTACTCCTTTCCTTCTTTCCTGCTTTCCTCCCTCCCTTCTTTCCTCCTTTCTTCCCTTCTTTCCTCCCTCCCTCCTTTCCTCCCTCCCTCCTTTCCTCCTTTCCTCCTTTACTCCCTCCCTCCTTTCCTCCTTTCTCCCTCCCTCCTTTCCTCCCTCCCTCCTTTCCTCCTTTCCTCCTTTACCTCCT